AAAGGCGTACATAGCTTTTATAGGAACTTATAGATTAAAAGAGATGCTTAAAAGTTTAAGTTTCCACTAGCAAAATATTTTATTTGATAAACTTTAATAGCCAAAATAATTCGCAGAATTCACGACATTGTAAATGTAAGAAATGGATTTTTAAAATAGTTGCAGAATCAAAAATAAAATTAATACCACAATACATTAAGATCAAGCTGATATACTATTTGGCTTGATCCCAGATGCCGGCCATATGAAAGTCAGTCTAAGTAAAAAAAAACAATGAAAGAGGATAATTAAATCAGTATCAGAATAAATATTTTTAGTTTATACCATTGAGCTGATCATTGGTAATATGTTATAAATTGAAAAATGGTCGATATAAAGCTGTACCCAATAGTTAAATCACTAAATCAATTGGCCAGCCTGGTAAATCTACTAGTGGGACTGGTGATATTAGTTTGGCTCATAAAGTTTTAGCAATGCGATTCGAGTGAATTAAGACAAATTCCTTTCAACGGACTTACATCTTCTAACTGGAAGGCCCATTCCTTCTCTTCGAACCGTATGTCCTTTTCACTGCGGTAGAGAGTTGTTGAGATCTCAAGGTTTTCTGGCATCGACCACACATGCTGATACACAATAGAACCACTTTTTCCAGATCCTTGCTGGTCCTGAGGAGGTACAGGTGGCTGACTTGATTTCCTGGGCGGGCTCGTTTCTGAAGCGGAGCTTTTACCAGATGGGATGACTGGAAGCAGGAATGCGGACTTGGGTTTGCAGATAATAGGCTGCCAAAATATCCATGGGAGAAAATAAATAAGAAAATCAAGTGTATTCTGTTATTTAGTCGAAAGTAATATTTTACAAAGGGACGCTTGTAGTATTTTTAAGGAAATAAGTATATATTAACATAATAAGTGAGTTAATAAAAATGAAAAAAATAAAATATTTATCGATGAACAAAATCCAACGAATTTTAAATGAATATAGTGCCTCAGATTTACTCTAAGCGATCGGATTTATTTGGGATAAGCTATATATTTTGCTGCTAGGACAATCCAAGAATATAATTTCAAAGGATATATTTATGAAATAGCATGCCGTGTTGAAAATGAGTGCCCAGATTGTCTGAATAAAGCAACAAAGGAGGATTGGCATCAAAAAAATAGATTTTCCTTTATAAATCTTTCAAACAAACATTGTGAAACAATTTAACATAGAACTTAAGATACCAAGCGTTTACAAAATTCCGTTAGATGGCCAGTCATGTTCTGCTGTTGCCGATAGATAGCCATAATGAGGGGCTTCGTTAGTAAAGTCATTAAAAGTGCATCAAGGGATTAAAATTATGAATCTAACTGAGAATCAGCATATATAACTGAGAACATATATAGTTGATTCCAAAGTTACTGTAAAGAAATGGTCACTTGTAGTGTTTCACTGCGTGCTAAAAAATTATATGATACATAAAGCGTCTAACTGGAATACAAGAGTCGATGAAGGCTAGATATTTTAAATATTACTGAATTCTAGAAGTCATTACTTAATGGCTAAATATAAAATTAAAAGTTTGAATACTGAAAAACTCAACATACACTAAGTAAATATAATTAATAAAGTAAAAAAATAAAATGCATTAAAAATGAATAGCCAGGTGCAAAAAGGAAGAACAACAAGTATACTTTAGAAGAGTAGCGGCGGCTGCGACGTGTCCATATGATAACAATGTTCCCAGGAACATAATTCTTTGTACACTCAAGTTCCACTTCTTGAAAGGAAGCCGTAAATTGGAACTTTGCCGCCTTCTTGCCTACACGCGAAAGCTTTTTCCATACACTCATTAATGGATCGAATAGGCAAGAAGGGGAGCGTGCATTAAGATAAAAAGCTTCTTACAATATTTACTCAACACACAAAATCAACAAAACGTTTGGTGAATGCTAATTAATCAGCATTTTTAAGAGCAAGACATTCATACTAAGTTATAAATAGCAGATAAAAAAACATGATGAAAGGATGGCTAAGAGCTGCCTTAAAAGTGGAGGGGTTTACAATAAGCAACAAAATCTTTAAAATGTCCTTCCGCTTTAAAAAGTATTACGTAAATCACAAATGATTATTCTTATTTTTTGTTTTTTTTATTTTAACCAACTTATTGTGTCTAATAATATCAAACTTTGCTGAAAAATAAACGTTTATGGCCAACATATATCTCATGATACATTAGCACTGAGTAGTCTTGAGAAATGTTTACAATACTCAAAGAACGTATATAAGAAAATTTACAATGAACTGACTAGATTACATTTAAATTAAGTGTTAGAATGGTCAAATCACACCTCATCCGTAAATCTAAGAGTGACTTGTCCACAAATTCATTTGCATATATTGTTTTCCCATTTATATACAGCTACTTGGAGTCAACAAGCGAAGAACTGTCATTCAAAAACTGAAGCTTTCCATTGATGCCCAGATAAACTTTTTACCCCTGCATAACTAAAGTTATTGAAATTATGGTATAACATCCAGAGTTATGCATACTTCACCTTATGGATGAACCCTAATCGCCTGCTTGTATTAGAGATTATTTTCTTTCCTTTATATATATATATATAATTACTGCACTTAAGTGCGGCCAAGGAT